CACGATCGCCCCACTGGATGGACTGGATGAAATAAAATAAAACTATACTGCAATTGTCTTTTGTTCTAGTTATCCGGAGGGCAAGCTTTGTGGACATATGCAGAACTTATGCATATCATTTTCTAAATGTTTGAGTAAACAAATTTGGCCGAGGGAAACAAAAAACCTCAAAATGGACGAGTTCAGATTCTTTCTTTTCTTTTTTCTTTTTTTTAAACAAATTACACTTTTTAAATGTAAAATAAATTTATAATTTTTAATGCAGCGTCTAAGTAGGTTTCTGTTTTTCAGTAGTATATAGTGTGACCTAATGTAAGCTTATTGTGTTAAATTGCAAATCAGTTATTAGAAAAAGCCTTTAAAACTATTTCAGTGCTAAATCCAATAACACTGCCTGGCTGAGGCATCCACCTCTCAGCTAGATTATTCTCTCAAAATACATAATATAAATAAAAGGTAATACTTTATATTAGTGCCACACTGTTAAGCATTAATAATGTATTAGCAAGTACTTCATTCATCATTTATATATCATTACTCCTCCTCAGTATGCCATTTATAAATACAGATATATTTATCCATCTGTTACTGTTACACTTTGTACAGCCATGAGTGCTACACCATCACTGCTTGTAATAATCATAATCATAGTCATAATAATATCTGTATTTATAAATGGCATACTGAGGAGGAGTAATGATATATAAATGATGAATAAAGTAGTTGCAAATGTCTTTAGATCCCTCGAAGAAAAGTTTATATTTCTTATAATAAGAACATTGAAATCCAGAATTCCAGTAATTTTATGACTAAAGGTTTAGATCCCAAATGAGTAACAGTTTCGGCTACGCTAACATTAAATCATTTATCATGTCGACATCAACAAAACTGCTGCTTTTCTTGTTTCTGCTTAGTGAAATGTCAAATGCTCCCTGCTTATGTGAAGGTGTGCACGTTCACATACTGTACAAGGTGTCGCCAGAGCTGGTGAGCTGTCCTGCTCCACCAGTTTAATCACAACTGTGAATAAACAAATTGCCTTATTGTGTCCAAATTGCTTGGAGCTTGTAAGACGGAGTGGTAAGAAAGCAGAAAGGTTTTGAGGGTCTTTTAAATGACAGTTTTTCGATGAACACAATTTTTAAAAAGCAATTTCAGAACCACAGTGAAGTACAAACCCCTTTATGACGGGGGTGGCTAAAGGCAGCTCAATATCTCAACAGGGGGAACTGCCTGCATGGCTCCACACAGCATTGCTGGCTGTGAGTACATTGTGACGCTCGTGAGGATGTGTGTTCATGTGTTAAAACAAACAGAGATGTCCATGCAGACACAAGCAGCAGCTCATTCCAGTGAGCGACAGCTGTAAGACAAGAATGCTGCCTTTAGACTCAGGAAACTGTTTGGAAATCAGTATAGGTCTTTTCCCACAGTGCATCTGAGTGGGTTTGTGTATATACTGTGTGTTTGGAGTCACCAGACTTGAGTGGTGAGCTGTACATCACACTGCATTACATTGGGAAACCTGAGAAATTTTCACCTCAGAGGGGTGGGAACATTGAAAAGAGACTGCAGGTTTCCCCTGAGCCAATAGGAAACAGATCATTTGCTGCTTCTGTCACCACATCTACTTGTCACCAGTGTCACACTGCCAGGACCACCGCCACGCTCACCTTTACACCGTGAGTATACTGCATTGCTGTGTATGTAATCATAGGAAAGTAAGGTTAAGTACACGTGTGCGCCGTATTTATATGTACACACATATGGTTGCTTATATAACAAAACTGCCTAACTATTATATTTAACTTTTTAACAATAATACGCTTGTTATGTACTAATAAGTACTGAAAATTCCATATTTTATTCTGTTTTGTCATATTTGCAAGCATTTACATTCCCATGCAGGGTTTTACTGTCACAGCATGGTTACTTTAAATATTTCATTTGTTGCAAAAATGTTTAAATCTACTTAGTTTGCAACAGATCAAAACTTTAGAGTTCATCCAAAACTACTATAATAAAATATTTGTATGGGTGCACTGTAGGAAAAAATGTAAATGTTTCTCAGACCGACAGTTCTACTGAATCAAACGAGGATGTGTATACTTTATTTTATTAAATAAGTGATTTTCACGATAAATGAAAGGCATCCGCAACTTAATGTCGAATTAAGTCGCCATCATTGCGTTAATAATTTGAGATATATTTTTGAAGTGGAGGACAAATTCTCTAGTTTCGTCGTAGACTGTGTGAATACAAAAGGTTCATTTAATTATGAAATATTGAGCTTATCATAAGAGCACATGTAGTATTTATAATATTATACTTAAACTGAAGGAAACTACAGATAGCATTGTAAGCTTAATATGGGTTTGGCAGTAGCAGTGAAAAAAACAGTCATAATAAATGAGTTATAAAATTGTTCTCGGCTTTAATCGAAACTCTTAATCCTGGAAAACGTGTCAGTGCATTGTGACTTGCGTATGCATATTCATTTACAACACTGGCACTCCCACACTTTATGGGCCTTCCTTTTAATGACACATGGAAGATTTCAGCGTGGAAAAGATTTATCACACGCGCATGTCTGTGGCACTCGTGTCTGTCTGTGTGTAAGAGCGAGAAAATGTTCACTTCTCTCAGCTGATCCTTGTAATCGGAGGAGAAAACAGAAGCGAAAATCCACTTGTTTCCACGGAAACAAAACTATGGAAATCTTACCTAACAAAATGCATTTAAATACAATACAGAAAACTTTCAAAGTATGCTATATACTACTATATGTGTGCAAATATGATACAATAAACTATATTTAGAAAAAATTAAATACAAGTAGACCTTACACTAATGTTATTATGTAGCACTTTTATGCATCTTTAAATCACAGGTGTCGAACTCCAGGCCTCGAGGGCCGGTGTCCTGCAGGTTTTAGATATATCCTTGATCCAACACAGCTGATTTAAATTACCTCTCCAGAATCCTGGTAATGAACTAATCCTTTGATTCAGGTGTGTTGACCCAGGATGAGATCTAAAATCTGCAACACACCGGCCCTCGAGGCCTGGAGTTGCCCACCACTGCTAAATGTATATTTATTGTTGACTGAATATGCAATATATTACCAAATTGTTGCCCTGATCTTAATAAAAATGGCTATAGGTTACACCTGTCCTCACTACTAGTTTAGGTCTTTAGTATTGGAATAAAAAATAGTAGCTAAACCCCAATTTATCACTAAGCCATTCTGTTCATTCGAACATCAAAAACATATTTTAATAGTACATCTTTAGTCCAGTTACTATTGTTATTCATTTTACTGACCTATGATGTGAGTGACTTTAAAAGGTTTAATATGAGTCATCCCATGTGGTGCCGTTGGTAAACTCCCTAAATTTGACTCTAGGATGTGGGGGCGAGATGAAGTGGATCTGCTGATGTCACAACCTCTACAATCTGAAAAGAGTTTGCATAAAAGCCGATTTGGTTAAAGCTTTATGAGGCGAGGACACTTATACCTCAGCAGCCCAGTGTTTAAAGCCTCTTGTCCGGATAACATTTGAGGTTTTTCCTCTGTTATTTTTCTGGCCTTTAATGCCCCTTTGTTATCCTCTCTGTGGGTTATTTTTTCTCTTAAGCCTTTTCTTTAATGTTTTACTGGAAAAAAAACATTTAAGCTGGAAAGCTGGAAGCAACTGAACCAACTTGTTTAGACATCACTACAAGTTTCGCTGGTGGATGTTTTATTTCAGACGTTTGTCTCCCTGCAGACTGCCATCATGGTCTTTTTGCCATTAACATGTGCTGTGGTCATCATCAGCTGCGTTTATGGAAGACCTCCATTACCTCCTTTGCCAACGAAAGGTGAGCTTGCAGCAGCTACACTACACACACTGCACACTGTAAGAGGCAGTAGTATTCATCACAGACAGAATGCATTGTGGTCATTACAGTATTATAGCGGGGTGATCTTGCTTTTTAGACAGATATCTTATTACAGCAGACTCCATGATCATCACCCACTCTACATATGTTTACATGTAGATGCTGGGGCGCTACAGGTACAGCCGTTACCAAAATTATTAGAACGCGAAAACACAAAGAAGGCTGTCAAAAAGTT